TTCTGGTCCTGAAGGGGCTTTTCTGGGTTTGGAAAGAGGGGAACGGGGTCTTTCTTCTGTGGAAGGTATTTTCCTTCTGACAACAAGCCAGGCCCCCCTCTTTGCCTTGGATTCAAAGCTGGTCTAGAGGACAGTAAGAAGAGGTGTGTGTGTGTGTGTGTGTGTGTGTGTGTGTGTGTGTGTGTATTTTCCGATGCTTGCCATTCTCTCCACAATTCGATGGAAGAACCATCATTATCCCCATTTCACAGTTGAGAAAGTAGAAGTGCAAAGATTTAAGGAATTTGCCCAACAACTAAGTGAGAGACCCAAGACTGGAACTCGTGACTTGGTTTCACAGTTAGTGCTCTTGACTGCACCATCACCTTCTGCCCAGAGCCTCTGTTTGCTCATCCATAAAATGGGTGTGATTGCAAAACATGCCTCATAGGTTAATTGCAAGAGTTATGTGAAACAGTGCAACGTAAAGTACTTGCATGAGACTGTCGGTTGCTGTCATTCCCAGACAAGATTTTGTTGCAGGTAACACAGGGAGGGACCATCTCCTTCCAGGCTTTTTGATAAAGGCCAGGAAGACAGCTGGGTGAGATTAGGCTCTGTTCCCCAATCTTACTTAGTCAGCCACGGGGAGCTGAGAGCCAGCCCTCCCCCATCGCCGGTGTGCTGGAAAAATCACATTTATGTGAGAAGCTGAGACATGCTAATCCATCACTTCTGTCATTTGTGCTAAAATGTAATAAGATGAGCTGGTCTTACCTGGTTTAAGACCATAGCCTTGTGCCTGCCTCCAGTTCCCATCACCCCACGTCTCATTACAGTCCATCGAGGGTTTGGCTCATTCTTGCATCTTCCTTCACACCTGTGTTTTGATCAAAAACCTGGAAATGACAGCAGTGCACTCTTTGAAGTCCTTTTAATCATCTCTCTCTGTCTCTTCCTCTCTCTTCTCCTCACAACAGGTGGGTATGATTATCCAGGTCTATTTTACAGATGAAAATACTGAGGTTCAGAGGAGCTAAGCAACTTGCCCAAGAGAGAAGAGAGAGCAGAGGGCTTGGCCAGCCCCTCCCTGGTACACTGAGATCCTAAATAACCAGGCCTGGGCTGGGTGAGTTGCCTGCTACTGCCTTGGGACAGGAATTCAGGCCAACCTTGGTGGGAAGAAGGGAAAGAATTCCTTCTGGCATGGGGGAGGGGGGGGGGTGGGAGAGAGGGGGAAGAGAAAGGGGTGGGGGGCAGGGCAAGGATGTGTGACTACTTGTCACGGGCCACACTGAGAAAGCTGATCTAAGGCTATTTTGATCCCTGGGCACAAGATGGCCCTCTCTGTTGGGGTTACATGACCACCACCACCCCTCCAAGCAGTCCTCTGGGTGGCATCCTCTAGTGTAGCCACACTGGAATCCTTGCCCTCACACTGCTCCTTTCCTGTCCTGCTGCCTCAGGCCGAGCCACCACAGCTTCTCAAGCTGCTCTCATGGTTTGGGCTTCTGAGTGGTCCACTCGAAGCTCTATCCCTTCCCCCCACCCTTCCCCCTTTGGAAAGGAGGATGTACAGCTTGCTATTTTCAAAAAAATCTTCTCTCCAATCTCCCAAATTCTACATTTCAATCCCTGTTCCCTGAGGTATGGGATTAGCTAAAGATGGTAAAAGCATTTCTAGCCACCCCCTCCACAAGTCTTGCATAGATGGCTTAGCACCTTGATTAGGAAAGAGGGGATTTTTGCACTTATGGTTTTGTGCACACCTGTGAGGCTTAAGAAACAATCCCACTTGAGCTTCCTGACCTAGAAGCTTAGGCAGCTGTAAGGCCTCTGGCCCTCTTGCCACAGTGTTCATCATGGGCCCCAGGCTCTCCATGTCTTCTTCCCAGCCAGTGTAACTCCATTTCTATGGTATCCCCCAGCTATCTGACCCAAATGTATACGAGAAGGCATGAGTTGATGTATTGATGTCTTTTAAAGAGTCTGGACAGGCAGTCAAACAGCCTTGCAGTGGGCCTATCTCTCTCACTAAAGGGCTGTGCAACCTTAAACAAGTCAGTTACCCTCTCTGGGCTTACATTTTGCAGCTCTAAAACAAAGAGCTTGAACTTGAGGGTTCCTGAGGTCCCTCCAACTCTGGGATGCTGAGTGGTCTGGGGATTGTGCAAGGCCAGGACCAGGCCAGTTCAAGGGCAGAGATGACGCCAAAACCCGTCAGTGCCTGACATTTCCACTCCCATCAGTGGGCCGCTTTGTTTCAGGTGACAAGGATGTCATGGGGTCTGTCTCCTGCCTCAGGGAACAAGTAGGCCCCCAGTTCAGGATGGAGACACAACAAAAGGGCAGGCCCCTGAGCCTGGGGGGCCTAGGGCGATGTCAATCTCAGCAGGTCCAGGAAGCAGCCTTATCCCAGCATCTAAAACAGGCAGCAAATGGAATGGTTTCCAGGCCCCCCTTCAGCCAAAGATAAAAATATCATGGGCTCAGGGATGTCCCGTCATAAATCAATCAGCTGGGACTATTTCTGTCCTTATCCCTTGCCCGGGGTCTCTCCTATGACCTCCACACATTCTGTCCTCTCATCCTGGTGTCCCAGCCACCTTAGCTCTGAAGTAGGAGGCCACTCACCCTCTGCCCTGGGACAGAGTAGCAGCAGCCTGGCCCGCCAGCGTGAGGATGCTGCCTGCCTCCAGGTGCACAGGGAGGCATTCAGGCGCCCCCACCAGCCTCTGGGAGCCTGCTCCCCATGAGTCCACTGACAGGACGATCAATTCCCATACACGCCAGGCTTCCTGGCCACATGGCAGTCCATGGGCTGGGTGGTTTTCCAGGAGTAAACGTCCCTGAGGAAGCCCTCTGCCTGGCTGTGGGTAGGGCATCTCCTTCATGTCATTAGAGAGAAGAAAGGCCCACCTCTTAAATAACTTGGAGGAATAAATGAGACTCCATAAGTAAAGCACCACACTCAGCACCTGGCAAGCTGCATACTCAGAGAATAAGACTGATCCCGCCTTTCCCATTGTCAGGAGCCCAGATTTTCAGAACTGATCATGTCCTCAGGTCCTCTGAGGAGATTTTGGTTCTTCTGAAACCCTAAGTCAGTTTCAAATCCGGCTCTTGGAGAGACTTTTGAAGGCATCTGGCCTATTATGAGAGCCAAAGTCAGTTCCCTAGTAACTAACCTTACATGCAATGTTATGGGGCCTGCACACTACATTCTCATATCCTGTCCTCCATTGCCCTCTGCAGGTTATTGTGCAATTCTGCAGGCACTGTTGGCTGCCTCCTTGTGACCAAGGGAGACAGATTTGAGGAAGTTTTCTGATGAGCACAGCAGGACAAGGCCAGGTATCTCAGGAACACAGCACCTCGAGTCACAAAACACTTGCTCTTTTGGTTTCATTGCCCCTCTGCCTCGCCTCTGTTCCTAAGCTCCGAAGGGAATTTACAGTCATTGTTTAGCCCTTTCAGCTGCACTAATAGTAGCTGACACATCTCAGCCTGGGGTATGCCCTAGAACATTCTGAGAAATTATTTGAAATAGACAAATTCTGGTTCAATTTCTAAAGTTCTTGAGTTTGTATCACACTGTCTAAAATACTCTGAGGAAGGGAACTTTGTAGGAAAATTGTGTGTGTCTCTGTGTGTGGTGTTTGTCAGTGTAAAAGCATTCTCCAGAAACGAAGGCTGGCTAAGATATGGCAGACACTAGCCATTGGTGTGGTTATGGCGATACCTAAGCATTTCCCATATGCCAGTCAGCTAACAGCTTCATTTATTAGTGACATCAAGCTCCAGCCTCAACTGGAGCGTGGTTTCCACCATCCTTCCATGGCCAGAAATTTGAACGCTGTCTGGCAGAAGGTGGGCATTCTATACAATGAAGACACAAGACAATGTCACCTCGTCCACCTAGAGCCACGGAGTGGTGACATCACCAGCCAGAGAAACCACAGGGATGGCTGCCTTTCTCTTGTTCTCTTTAGCAGCCTCAGGTAGGGTCTTAGCAGAGCTCATTACACCCATAGAAAGGGAGCCAAGTCGTTGGCACCTGCAGGACCCTTATGTAAGAGGAGTTTTCAGGTCACAAATTTATAAACTTTTAGAGCTGGAGAAGACCTTAGAGATGATTCCAGTCCAGTCCTTTCATTGCAGTAAAATGAAGTACAGAAAATGGAAGTGACATTCCAAGGTCACAGAGACTCTAGAGACACAGCTGGGATGAGAACCCCAGCTCCTTGACTGCTTTTTTTCGGGCTGATCTTGATTTGGTATATCATTTCTAGATGGAATATACTCTGGCTTCAAGGGAAGATTTTTAAAACTGATTTTTTTTTTAAATACACAAAGGGGAAGAGAAGAAACCCATCACATAGTAGGCACTTAATAACTGGGTTTGTTTGGTTTGGGTGTTATGGAGTGGTATTGCTTTATGCAACTTCACAAAATTAGACCAAATTAACCTTGAATTTGTTTCATTCTTTATTCTCTCCGATAATCCAAAGGTGATTCGAGGCTTGAATTTCATCCCATTGTCCCATTAAGATTTTTTGTGTATAGATTTGAGGTTATAATATGATGTTCATTGGTTCAAAGGAAAAGCTGCCTGAGGAAGGCACGTGGATTTAAAGTAGCTTTTGTTCAAGCTACTGGAGGTTTGTGGGATTCCAGAAGGACAGACACTGTCAGCATGTGAGGTTATACCGTCTGTCTAGTGAGTTGGGACATAGCACAAACACTTCCTGAATCTATTTAATCATATACATGATTAAGACAGACCTAAAAAGACCCTTCATTGCCTATTACCACTTGGGCCTTGGGCCTAATAGGTCTAGATTTGCTTATCATTATGTTTACAAATCACATTTTTTATTGATTCTTCCAATGTATTCAATGTTCTTCCAAACACCATTTTGATGAATCACAGTGTTGTCATCCTGCGGCTTTCATAGATTCGTGTTCTTCATGGCATGTTCCATGCTTCATGCGAGAAGAGTCCCCTGAGGGCTTTCTCTTCAGACCCTCTGAGACCAGGGTTTACAGTTTCCTGGTACATCAGTGACGCACTAGAAAGAAAAAAACAACAACAGAGAACTCACTGCCAGGGTCTTCCCATAGCGCATGCCCACTCCCACCCTCTGCACATGTCACCTCCCACCACTGCCAGCCACCATTCTAAGCCCAAACACCACTCTGCAGTCCTGGCTGTTGGAGATGCCCCCTGGCAGGACCCCTTAATTTCCTAGTCATTCCCTTCTTTCTACTGAGCACTTTTCATGTGGCAGGCACTCTAGGAAGCTCTGGAGGTACAGGGATGACCAAATTCAGAAGTAGTCCTTCTAGGATACAGTTTTTCAAAAGCATAGAACCAGCTGCTTGGTCAACTCCCCTGCAGGGACTTTAAAATAGTAAAGGGGCTCATTAAGTCACTGAGTCGTGCATCAGATTGCTTGCAAAGAGCTAACTTAGCAACCTGTGCAGTTTACAGGGAGCCACGCAGCACTTGCCCTATCAGGGAATGGGGTTTGGGGACCTGTCAGCACTGGGGCCATGGTGGAAGTACTGGGCTGTGGGAAGGTTGCTGCACAGCTATGGACATCCTCCCTGCCTCCTACCTTGCACCCCACAGCTAACACTATTGGCAAACCTGAAGGATGACCAGACTACAACCGCATCAGCCTCTGGGATGGCAGATTTGCCTGCCCAAGGGGCTCTCCTTTCCCTCCTCATCCCTGGAACACTTTGGGTCCATAACTACCTACTTCACCTCTAAACCCCAAGGGCCTATCAAATTTCCCAACAGATAACCCAGAAATACAACTTGGGGATTGGGAAGAACCTGGTTCTGCTACCTCAACAGAGGCTGCCATTGCAATTTCAGAGCCCAGGCTGCTTCGAAGTGCCTAACAGATAAAGACACTGTTCTGGCCTGGCCTCTTGATACCAGGCATTGTCCACTATGAGTGCCACATAGGGCCTTCCCCAAATGATCCCAACTTCCATGGAATTCCTGTTCTATTCTGCTACAAACATCTCCAAGCGTAATGAGATCACGTGACTTCCTAAAAGGCTAAAATGTCTTCAAGGGCACCTGTGTGTCCCCAGGATCTGCGTGGCACATGGTAACCACAGAACAACTGTGGGTTATCTGATTATTTAAGTCGTTCTGCTTTTTCTCTCCATCTGCTTTGTACCTCACACAGTGTTTCAAAACACATACTAGTGGTGGACACAAACAATTAGGGTATTCTGGAGCTTTATCCATCACCCTCATCTTCAGGGAAAATAATGAAATCCATAGGTGTATAGACTGTACTCCCTACTCTAAGAAGGGCCAGCTATAAGCTGAAGCCTTAAGGGGAATTATTGTTCTTTTCCTGCAAGTTCAAGGGCATGCTACCAGAGAGTGGAGGGTAGCCTTGGGCGGTGTGTGGTTGTGTGGTTGAAAGAGAGCCTAATACCTCTGTCCCCCTGCAGAAAACGCCCCTGCAGTTCATGGGTTTGTGTCCTGACCTCGCCCAGACTGAATGGGTGCTCAAGAGTCATCCTACCAGGGTGGTGAACTTGTCCACGCAGGCATTGCGGATCTTCTCCGGGGTGGCAGGGCTGTCTAGCCGGAAGAGCTCCTTCGTATTACTGCCTCCATGCTGAGCTCGGGCTGCACGGATGGCATCCTTGATGGCAAAGAAGATGGAAGCGGCCAGGAAGAGAGGCGGCTCTCCAACAGCCTGGGGGGACAGCGTGGGGGACAGGAACTCAGGCCAGAAGCCCCAGCCTCCACAGCAGGAGGGCCGGTGATGCTGGAATGCCAGCCACTAGCACTGACAGGCCTCAATCAGAGACCCAGAACACTCACTCTAGTAAATGACTGGACCTTGTGGGCATATTTCTCTGAATTCTTACTGTGTGATTCCTTGATGACACCATGCGAATATTGTGAGATTCTCCCTCCCCCCACCCCAACTGGTGGGCAGAGTTATGACATTACTGGCATCTGTCACAGAGACATCCTCAAGACATTGAACCAACAATTAGCATGTGCCAAAGGGCTCTGGAGCCCACCCCTTCCTGTTCAGCCCTGGGTCCAACCCTTTCCTGTTCCTCCCCTTAAAAAGACCCCCAGACCAGCCAAGTGCTGCTTGTACTCCATGTCCATCTGCAGGCAGCCTGGCTAGGGCCTCTCTCCCCTCCCCACTCCTTCAATTCTGATTTCTCTATCTCCGTAATTTATTTCAGAGAAGAAGGAAGAGGGAGAGAGAAATAGATATATGAATGATGAGGCTCATTGATCATCTGCCTCCTGCACACCTCACACTGGGGATCAAGCCCATAACCTGGGCATGTGCCCTGACCAGGAATCAAACTCTGACCTTCTTGTTCATAGGTCAATGCTCAGCCAATGAGCCACACCAGCTGGGCCAGAACTGCATTTTTATCATGAGCCAGTGGCAGGGGTTGCAAAGTGTCCCTGATATTCCCATGGTAACAACACGCATGAGATGAGCAAATGGGTGGATTTCTTTGCTTTCAAATGATCAACTGTCTTCCTTAGAAATAGGACTCAATCAATCAGCTTGATTAATTTTCAACCATTTTTTCCATACATATTGGGGAGGATGGTTATCATCCTTCAGGCATTCTAGTCAAGTCTTCAAGTCACGGGGCAGCCCCTGAGGGAGGTGATGTGGTGCACAGAGGGACTGCCCCATCTTCAGTGAAAGTGCTGGTACTCATAGGAGACAGAGGTACTGTATCTGTGAGATTGTGTCTAGGACCAAACCTCAAGGATGGATACCTGAGATGAGAATGTAGGTCAGGGTTTGGTCTATAGGATTGGGTTAAGGAAATCCTCATTGTACTCAAAGCAACGGGCTTCTCCCACACAGAGGAGCTGTCATGTTCAATCCAGTTCCTGGGTATTCAGGCAGGACTGCCCGCCAATCCAGCACCATCCCCAAAGCCAATATCAAGCCCTCTTCTCAGAGGAGCGCCCTTCACACCCACATGGTTGGGGGGGGCAGGGGAAGGGAGGCGATCTGTCACCATCTGGGGCCTCGTACAGTGCAGACAGGAAGGCTGCCCAGGCCCGGGGCACCAGTACCTTGGATGCGTAGATGGCCTTCTTGTTGGGAGAGTCACGGAGCAGGGACACCCTGAACTCCGTGGGGATGTTGCCACACGCCGGGATCTTGTAGGTGCTGGGGCCGCGGGTGAGCAGGGTCCCATCAGGGGAGTAGTGCAGCTCCTCCAGTGTGAAGAGGCCCAGACCCTGGACAAATGCGCCTTCCACCTGCAGGGCAGACGGACACCGTGGACACCGCCTCCCCACTCAGGCACAGGTCCAGCTTCCACTCGGGGACCAGGCCACCTGGAGTGGGGCCTGGAATGATGCTGGAAACAGCCCTGCACTGCTTACCTGGCCCCTGACCACCCGGGACCACCTCTCTGGGCCTCCGTAGGGCACAGGCACTGAAGCTCAGATTTAGAACTCGGTGGTGATTCTGGAAGCCCATGTAGTGGTAGCACAATCTCCCATTAAAACCTGCCACAGGGCAGTGCAGATGCCCCTCCTTGTCACTGGCTAATGAGTGCTGAGTGTCCCTCTGGGCCCACGCTCCTCTCTATGCTAAGTGGGGCCTGCACTTCTGAGCAGCCCCAGGAGAGAGGAGGAGATTTTTGATAGTAGAGTGCAGGATTTTTGAACTCCCAGCCCCGCCTGCCCTCTGGGAAAAGGAGTGCCTCTGCTCTAGCTTACAGGTCTGTTTGGGGGTACCTGCCTCGTTCTACTGGCCCAGAGAACCTCACTCTCACAGGCAGGTAGGTGGTGCCATGTAGTCAAACAAAAGTGTTTAGGGGAGACCAGGTGCTAACCATCGTTGTGACTAAGGTGCCTGAGCAGAGCAGGGACGCCCCCCCCCCCCCCATGGTTGTTCAATGAATGAATGAAATGACTGACTAGTGATGAGGTTTCTGTATACTAAGTAATTGTCCACTCTAGAGAGATATTCATTCACATTTTCTACCACGTGCTCAGTACTTCTTATCCTGATTCCTCCCTCAGTCTCCTCCTGTTGCAGCTGCTCTGTCCAATGCTCTTATATTTTCCAAAAGTGCTTTCCTTTGATCATTCCTTTACCCCTCTTTTTCAAACCCAGGCTTCTACACATTGCTGTCCTGGGTAGGAGAGAAAGGATGAGGGGAAAGCTTGTTAACCTCAGACCTCACTGCCTGCACATCGATCCCAAACTCCAGCTCCATCTGTGCATGTGTGTGTGCTGTGTGCATGTGTGTGCATACCCAGTGTTTTCCCCATTCATCTTGTTTTTTGAGGCGTGAGAGCCCTTTCTAGATCCATCCACTAATTTGCCCTCTGCCTCTAAAGGTGGGTGGCCTCTTATCCATCTAAGCATCACTCTGTGGAAGACACTCATGGAACATGTTCAGACCCATGTAACATCGACATTGGACAAGATGCTGGGGCTGGTGGCCCTGGGAAGGAGATGGGACACATCAGTAACCCAGTATATCGCCACCCAAGTTCCCTGTGAGTCTTACCTGTCCTATGTCAATGGCAGGGTTCAGACTGCAGCCAACATCCATGACGATGTCTGTGCGAAGGTTCTACGGTAGACAGGGAAGTAAAAGCAGCTTGAGAAGAAGGGAATGTGTGGGATGACAGGTGGGTCTCAGTGACTCTTAGACTATGAAATGCCAACCCAGATGATACTTCCACCAGCAGCATGCTCTGAGCACACTCTGGCAGTCCCCAGTCTCCACTGCAACCATCACTGCTAAAGTATGAATTCTTAGGAGCAGTTGGGGAAGGGGTGGGAGTGACTAGGGTCTAAGTAATCTAAAATAACTGCACAGCCGAAACCGGTTTGGCTTAGTGGATAGAGCGTCGGCCTGTGGACTGAAAGGTCCCGGGTTTGATTCCGGTCAATGGCATGTACATTGGTTGCGGGCACATCCCCAATTGGGGGTGGGCAAGAGGCAGCTAGTTGATGTTTTTCTCTCATCAACGTTTCTAACTCTCTATCCCTCTCAATTCCTCTCTGTGTAAAAT